AATAAAAAGGATAAATAAAAAATATCTTCTCTTACTCTCTGAATAAAAGAATCTAAGTTACACTAATTATTTATGATCACTATGATCAATTCTTATACTACCTCACTACCGTCAAGCCCCTCGCGTTTTACTCTCGCTATTCTTTATCACTCTTATTCTTCCTTTCATATTTTCGAACTTCTTTCCCTTCCATCTCATTCTCAAACTTCAGATTCGACACAATTGCCTATAGTTTCTTATAACAAACTATATTTATTTTTTCATATACATATATAAAACTCTCTCGTATAAACGATCGTTAGGTACACATGGTATTATGTATGTATAAATTGCAATGAGCGAAGTTGAATTTCGATTGTGTTTTGGGACGACAAGTTTGCGCCTCGATAGTTGTAATCTTAATTTTATGAAAATCGACGATTAAAGTTCAATGAAAATTCTAGATATCTCTTATGACGAAAAATAGGTCTGGAGCTAGACGGAGTGGATGACATATATAATATATATATATATACAGGGTATTTTATTTTAAATCTTGGAATTGTATATAATCCAGATCTTTTAAAAAGGGCAGGAAAAAAATGATTAAGCAGCGAGAAGCATCAATTTGAAAATAGAATCTTATCATATTTTTAAAATAAAATTTTGTCCACACGATTTTTTAAGATAATCATGAAACGTGAGAGATAAAGTACCCTGTATATATTACACGTATATATTCATAAGAAAAATAAAGTCTTGCTCCGGTGTTGCGCGAAGAAAAATAAGGTTCGAAAGCAAAAAGGAATACAAATTTCTGGGCTTCTGTAATAATAAAATTTTTCATAATAAATTTATATCTAGTCGAAAGAAGTGAAGTTTATCCTATTTCTAATGTTTTACGATGTGTATATATATATATATATATATATATATATATATATATATATATATCGTATAATAATATTATATGCTTCAACAGCCGTTCTTTTGCTTAAGTTAAAGCTAGATTGACATAAGTCATTTACGAACGCTATTTTTTTACGTCTTCTCTTCTATCCGTACTATGTAATTTTTAAATTCTATCTAGCAGGTACGTGCGTACTCTTCGTGACGGATGCGAGGTGTTCGAGAAATTCGATCGAAAGCAACTTGTGCAGTTGCATAAATTAGCGACATAATGGAAACTAAATGCTTTTGTTCTCAAAATTAGTTTCCGATTTTTGTGTACAATGTCAACATGTCAACAACAAACTTAACAATCTGAAGACAAAGATATAAATTCGAGACTTCGCAAAAGATAAACTAGAAGCAATGTTTGTACTGTAATTCCATTGGTCGCGAAAGAATTTTCTTATAATATGTTTCCTTTCGCGCGATTCTCTGTCGATAAAAAAATCGACAATCTGCGAGGTCATCAGCTTATATTTCCTAAGTCATTTGCTACGTCAACGAAATACAATTTGCGAAATTTATATTTGCGAGAATTGTTCCCGCATTTATGTAAAAGAGAATCTTGAGTTAGATCGAGACGACAACCATGAAAAATGTGCATTTATTCAGTGCGTGTGCTCTCTTATAAAAATCTATGTAGTTATCTAATCTAAATATTTAATTCTGTTAATTCGAAACCATTAATTACTAATTCATGAACACTCGGTTATATATTTAAATGCTATTGTGTATAAAAATAGAAATAAATATAGTTTCTTTTCCTTCTTTTCTTTCTTTGCAAAATCTCGTCATAGAGCCTGGCTTAATTTCTGACTGTCGTCTCAAACACGTTGGGAAGGGATGAAAAATTATTCGGGAAAAAATCTCCAAGGGACAAGAGTACTAGCAGATTAAATAAAGAATGACTATGTATAAGACGAGAGAAGAGCAACGAAACATCCTCGCGATCCGTCAATCAGGTTACTCTCTGAGCAATTTTTGATGAAAAAGATCCTTGCCGAGAGAAGACCTACCATTCTATCTTTACTAAAAATAAACAAACAAACAAAAAGGAAATAAAAAAGGAATCGGGAAATGCATTCTTAGGGTCGACGCTACGAATGTCGAGACCCTGAACTCTATCGCACATAAATCGCACATTAAATACATCTACGATACGGCTGAAGGGCCGAACCTCAGTCAACTACTATCTTGTTTTATATATTTCATACTATCTTCATCCCTCTTAATTTGGCACGATACAGAGAACTCACAGGTCGGACACACATGCAAACGAAAAATGCGGCATAGCAAGAATTTACGCGAGAGAAGGCTTTTCTCGTTCTTATAACGGAACGAAATTTGCTGCGAGGTATACATTGTCGAGTTTCCTTTCAATTATCCTACGATCTACTGTTTAATTTAACCGTCGGTTTAAAAGCAAAGGAACACTCTTCCATCAAACGCGAGAAGTCTGGTTGAAAAGAATTTAAAAAAATCATTCGTTAATTTAGAAAGTTAATAAGCTTTCATCTATTAACAAGCGTTCATTAATTTAATCATTATATTCGTAGTTGACAAGAATAATGAGATTCTTTAATCTCATTATTTTTACGTATTTACACTGAAACAAATGACTAAATTAATACATATTTAGTTCAATACTGCCAAATAAATCATTTATTTGAAACAAATAAATTTATTTGTTTGCCTTTCTAATTTCTAAGTTATTTTAAATATTTATGTGTTTTAAAAAGCATTTTCTTATATTAAATAAATATTTTTCGTATCAAATAAATATTATCAGTATCAAATAAATGATTCATTTAGCAGTATTGAAATAAATACTTATTCGAATTAAATACATTTTTTTCAGTGTATACACGGCAAGATTAAAAGAAATCTAAGGATTTCTATAAGAATCTTATAAGAATCCAGAATCCATCATATAGATTTCGTGAATCAGGATTTAACGTGTATAGAAATAATCTATGAACTAATGTTTTTGGAGTATTTTTATCGAAATCCATACAGACTTTTCGCGTTGATTTCTCGTGCATATACGAGAAGGATCATTAGAAATCGTAAAAAAAAACTAATAAATTATATTCAAACCACTGTTATCCTAAGTTAATAAATGACGAGCGTGTATTCTTGCTTGATTTTTCGAGTTATCTAAAATATCGTAACCTGACTCTTGGCGATGACTTTAATTACATAATTCATATATAAATTTATTTTGATATTTAATGTAGGGAAAAGAAATATGAAAATACGCACGTAAGGAGACATCTTATATGGAAAACGATAATGTCGAGAATATTCGAGAGCGCGAAATGCGATATATATAGTGAAAAGAAATTTTCAAGAGCTTTAAATGGCATTTCTTCGAGTTAATTAAAAATAGCTAATCGCGCGCGATGTATATGCGCATATGTCTTTGATGTATCAATTCGTGAAAAATTAATGTGAGTCTATAAAATGTATACAAAAGAATGTGTTAATTGTTTTCAGGAATCTCTCGCGATCTTTTGACTGAACTTGTAATGTGTCCTTCACGATCTATGGATCCCCGATCGATTGGAAAAACTGTGGTCGCCCGTGTTCCGAACTGCATTATTACGTTGCGTATGTATGTATATGTGTGTGTGTGTGTGTGTGTGTGTTTTATCCATACACGTGTACTTACAAATATATGTCATAAACTTGGGTCGCGATTAAAAATATCCCGTGTCATTAAATTAATATTTATATAATAGTTTCTATATATTTAGTTTAACTGTATCCGTCTGCGTGTCATGTGTTTGTGTGTAATTATATGTCTATTGTATAATTAAAAAACGTCAGCTCGCGCGATTTTTTCCTGACTCTTTCGCCTAAATTTACTTTTTAGTTTCTTCAATGCGACTATGTATCTCTATTTCATTGCCGCTCTACTTTTTATTCATTTTTACCCGGCCTTTGTTACTATTTATAATTTGGACTATTTGCGGGCGAAATGCGCACACATATTTATTCGTGTGATATATATCTTTTGTATATGTCAACTGTCAGTGAGCGCACGCGCGCGCGCGAGTACTGTTTTGCATTGTTTTTCTTGAAAGGTTTTCACCTTCGCGTTCATCTTTCATCTTTCGACCGTAAAAAATATGCATACAAACGAATACTGTTACCTACAAATGTAATGAACACATTGTTTCTGTTTTTGCGCCCTTATATATATGTGTGTATATATATATATATATATATATATATATATATATATATGTATAGTAATATAAAAAATCATCTCTGAGAAGACACTACGCGCTTTTCCACTTGTATCTTCAGCTGATCTCTATAGCATGTTAATTATTCGTATGTCATACATAATTATGCACATTATTTGCGTACATATTGTTGTTCTTATATTTGTGCACATATCTATATGTAATTTTATTATATATATATATATATATATATATAAATTATACATATATATATATATATATATATATATATATAAATATATATATATATATATATATATATATATTTATGTGTAATTATGTATGACATATTGTGTATTATAATTGTTATATAGCATCTTATTTCTTTTTATAAGCCGTGCTCAAAAGTTAACATCATTATGACCGTGTTATATAATTATCTTGATTTGAGAAAATGCCGGCAGCGCGATGAAACTTTAAACTAAAGCTGATAACATTGATATGAGAGTAAATATAGTAATAATATTATTATTATTTGCCATTAGGATGTCATAATTTTCATCATTCTTTCTGTCGTTAATCTGTAATATGTGTATATAAATATTTATTCATGTCCATATATATGTTTAAATGTATGCAAATCTATATACATATGTACATGTATAGAAACTTATTATTATTTATATCGAGAGTGTACTCCGCCCGCGAAACATATATCTAACAATATTATATTTCACGATATTTGTATGCATGTATCTTGCTTTACAAAACAAAATAATTAATTAGTTAAAAAACAAGGAAGACACGTGATAATATCTACGCAATATCTCAAAGCGATATTAAAAATGAAAGTTTGGCGGAATCGCGTTATTGAAAAAAAAAAAAAAAAAAAACAAGAGACAGAAAAAAGAAAAATTGATTAATCCCGCATTATATTCTTCTCTGCCGGTCGACGAAAGATGAAGCTAAAAAAGTGATTTGCCGCGACAGCGGTCTTCTTCATTTTATTGCACCCAACCGAATACGCGATGTTACATATAGTCGAACTAATTTTTTTTAAATATGGCGGTAGAGGAAAATAAAATTTTGGGTGCAAAATAAGGTAGAAAAAGCAAATCTATCTTCAAGAAAAATCTGCGCTGTTGATTCGACTGACTCAATATGCAAGTGAAAAAGATATGCAAAATACAAAACAGATTTATGCTAATTGTAATAAATAAAAGTAGGTCAAGTTATATGTGGCATGTTCAATGAACCGCTTTACATGTAACCGAATATAGTGTGTATATGTCTTCGAAGTAAGAAAAACCATTCTCCCGATTATTAATATATTATAATTGTACGTACAGTAAAGTAACGATATAAAGCAAATAATGAATATGCCACACATAGAATCTCATTGATACCCTGTAAACTATTTCTATCTATATATCTTTTTGACTGACTCGTCATCTTACGCCTCGTGTTTCTATCCACCTAGTTGTTTGCTCGACTTAATTAGGTTGTGCAAAACCGAAAGCGGTTACTCAACCTTTCGTTAAAGAAGACCCGAAGCGAGGAGACTTGTGTTTTTTTTTATTAAGATCAACGGTCATCGCCGAGAAGACCTTTTCTGCGGGAATTAAATCGCGAGGAAATACAGGAGGAAAAAGGGAGATACTATCAGTTAATTCGTGCCCTTCAACTAGGTATCAATCGTGTCTGTGCACGAGTGCAATTAAAAAGAGAACTTAGAATGCGTTGAATACCTGAGAGTCAAACCTCGAAGAGAGAAGTCTGTCTTGTGGCCTGAAAATTTTGAGTTTTTATTCATCGTCAAAAAGAATACAATACTCCTCGTATTCTTTTTCAACGAATTGTCGTCACCAATTTTACGTCAATAATTTTGCTAAATTCGCATAATTCGAAAATAATAATTCAAAATTAATATATAATTAAACATTTATAATCGCACGAGTCGAAAGAGTTAAACTTGAGATCTCGCAAAACGATGATCAGCAAATCATCGCTTGTGAGTTTAACTCAATTTTGTCGATGATACGAGAACACGCGCAATTCTTTTTCCTAATTATCAGTGCAGGTTTTAGAAAAGAATCGATTGCTAGCGTCCGAAGTACGCGTTTTTTTAATTGTTTTTATTTTTTTTTGTACATACATATATAAATATACGTATGTTTCTACGAAGCACTTAGAATCGATACGAATACGTCCAAAGAGCAGCGAATCGGTTGTCAGATTGTTGGGTAATATCGTGATAAGATCTCCTTCGATCACTCAATCAATTCGCTTTATTTACGCCACAGAAATTAAAATCCGACCGCCAATTACTCGTTAACAACAAATCGGATATTTTGTGCAAAGATCGAAATAAAGCGAAATAAAGTTAAAGAAACGCGATGTTAAAGACAAGATACCAAATAATATATTTAATCAAGGCAATTAAAGTGATATCAAGAGAAAATTTTGTTGAATGGATCGAAGAAGTTTTCGACTTTCACATTACGGCTGCTCTCAACAATACAGTTTTTCAATCATTTTCGGACGCGTTAAAATTCGTACCGATAGTTTCGTTGATCTTACGCGCACTTCGTCGTCAGCGATGCTGTCTTGTCATTGCGACAACAACTGTGTTAGCTGTTGTTACAGCTGCAGGTTATTGAAAAATCCATGCACGTTAAAAATAGATATATAAAAAAATTTATACAATATATAACACATACATTTTCTGATCTCTCTTCGAACTTTATCTCACGATCAGAAAATACGCATTCACACTGTCATCACTAGCACTCCCTATATACATAGTAATATCGTTTTTATTTCACAGCCTCACAGTTTTAAGGTCTTTGACGTACGTAACGTTCCGTTCCATTTCTGTTACGGCCGGTATTTTATATTGCATTCGATTCACGTGGCGATATCATTTACGCGAACTCGATGCAGTTTCCGCCATGGTATCGACGACACAGATTGTCCTCAACACTTCAATTGTGCCGATACATACGAGGCATCTTCCTTTGCTGCATGAGCTTTTTAACCTTCCGTTGCAGGAGCGAATTTTGTATTTGCAGTAGTTCCACCTGCTTCATATGGTAGGTCTCCTGAATCTGTTGCTCTTTAACAAAGGCCTCTGCCTGCTTCAGAATGGTAACCTTCGCCACTCTGTCTTTATCGGCAATCGCGGGCACGTGTTGTTTCAGTTCGTCGAAACTGTTCTTCATACTTATGCGCCGCTGTCGTTCCATATCGTTATGGAGATTCCGCTTCGCAACGTCGTCATCATCCTCATCCTTATAGGATTGATTCCTCCATTGCTTTACATATTTGGGCCCTCGTTTCTGCCCTCGCGGAATCGACTGCATGCGGGCCCGCTTTGGAGAGGATGTCTCGTTCAGGGCCATCTGTGCCGCCTTCTTTCGCTTTGCAGAGTTCGGGCCTGGCGGTCGGCCGCGGGGTCGGCGTATGATATTATCTGTGTTCGCAGCCAACTGATTTGCACTCTGCTGCTTCTGCGTGATGTTCAAGCTCAGCTGACTCGCGCTGTGTTGTTTCTGCGCGAAGTTATTCATAGCCAGCTGATTTGTATTGTGTTTTTTGTGGGCCAAATTGAAGTAGGACACCTTCTTCTCGTACGAGACCACGTCGATCTCCTCCTCGTCTGCAACAGAATCAATAGATTCATCGATTAAGTATCGTTGGTATACGAGTGTAAAGCTTAGATGATATTATCATAGCGTATTAAATTAATTAGCATATCACATTAAATGATATACATCGCGCAAATAGGATAATTCGCGTAAAGCGTAAATGTAAAACAACAACGTCTTGAATGTAATTAATAATGCAATTCGTCTATTTCGATGAGTATTATCTTTCATCAGAAACATTAAACAATATATGAATCTTTTATGCATAAAATTATCGTTGATATTATCATGAGTCTTCCTGCAACAATTTATACTTAAAGAAAGAAATGCATAATGTGAGACATCATCAATCACGCAAACTATTCATACAATCAGATAAAATAATCGATCGAATGGGAGAAAACAGAATGTTGTTAAAATGTAAAATATATATTTAATTTTTCAATATATAAATATTTAATATTTTTTATTCTTTATATTTAACTATTTAATATTTATTTATATATTTATATATATATACAATACAATATACAATTTATTCTGGATTGCTCGCATTCTTCAAAAGTGTAAATTGTTCATATTCATGCGGATTGGTATTCAAGACTACTTGAAGATCAATCATCAGAATCAAGGCCGGAAAATATTGTTTCGAAAAATACATAAAACATTATTGATATTGCCTAATTACGCGGTTTCTTCTCGTACTCGAAATCATACATTGTCGCGGATGTGCGATAATATTTATCTCAAAGCACACAGTTATTTTAAAATTCCTATCTACAATCAAATTGTAACGAATAAGTTGTGACACTACTATCAGAACTGTGATAAAATAAATGTTGTAATAAAAGAGAAATAAAAAGAATTATATTTTAAAAAATATTGTATTATCTCTCCCTCGAAAAAATTGCAAACATTGTTTTAATGAAAAATTAATCAGAGCAATAAAATTGCAGTAATTAGATTATTAAAAATAAAAAAAGAAAAATAATTGGAAATTTTTGACAGCGACGAATCCTTTAAAGATCATGTAGTCACGGAGGCGTTTTAGGATGACATTTAAAACAGTGGGCGTTTCTGCAAACTATCATTTACGGTGCCTGGCACAATCGGTGGAAATCCGGTTGATCCAGATTTTTCTCGTACGAATGCAATCGCTAATTCTCTCATTTCCGTAATACCATTCAGCATTGTAACATTTATAATACGCGTAGAGAGGATCGTCACTCTCACGATATTCGTCCAGCTCTAACTCGTTCGCGTTTTCTCAATTGTAATATTTAATTCCATCTCAACGATCGTTTCGCATCCGCCGCGCAGTTTATCTTATCTTTATTGAGTCAATTCTCATTCGCCTTTCAAAGTGATTCATACATAATAAAACGCAATAGGTCGTTATATAGGTTATTATGCCTCAACATTTCTGTTTCTCCAGTCGTGATTGCCGCGCGCATCAAGCATTCCTTCGTTCCATTTCTTCAGCAGCTCGTAAAACGAAAGTTCGGTTGATTTCCGGAGAGAGTCGTAACATTTTTATTAAAAATTTACGAAGAAAAAAATTTTGTTAGCATGTATTTTATAATTGATTAATAAATTCACCGGAAAGTCCCTTTTCGCGACCATTAGTAATTTTATGTCACAAGGTTACATCTTTCAGCTAACCACAAGAATGCTACATATTATTCGAGGATGTCATGTAAAGCTTCATATGCCTCATATATTTATCAACATAATAACAAAGGATCAAGATAAATGACAAAATTTGTTAATAAAAATTCCTTATAAAAATACTTGGTTAAGTGTCATATAAAACATACTATCAGCAATTACTTTTGACATGAGAATAAAAGTGAATAAATTTATTGGCATTAAAGTGGGAATTAGAAGCGATTGCATTCGCGTGAACAGCAAGCGTTACAAGGAATCGACGTTAAACCATTAATACCATTTGAAGAACTCAATTAGAGTTGTTCTTCAGAATTTTGAGCTCTCATCTTGCAACGTGCATGCCCTTTCTGGCGCTGCTCCATAAATGCCGTAACATTTCAGACCGAGCTCGCAAACGGGGACAAGCGGAAGGAGACACTCCCGAGGAACGAGGAAGAAAACGAGAAGACGTCTGTCAAGCTCGCTCACGCGCGCAGCCACCTATGCACGTGCATAAAAGCGATCTCGCTTCGTCAGTCAGTGCGCTTCCACGTGCTTGCTGCACTCGGGCATATGAATCTTGCGCCGAGATTGGCGCGTCGCCAGGACCTCGTTGCCCGCGGTGGAAAAGGCGCGAAACATCTAAGAATAACGCCGCGCCGAACTAAATTGGTAAGGGAGGCTTTGATTTACTCTGTCTCTTTCTCTCTTTTTGTGTCTGTGTCTTTTCGCACGTGCCTCAGTCCCGGCGCCTCTATATCTGCGATCCAACAACCCCTTAATGACACTTTAAGTAATAAGCGTTTAAAGTTATTTTTTTTTTAATTAATTAATTTTTAAATATAATTACATATATGTTTAATAATTAGTAAATTAAATATCTCTCGCGAAAAACTTTTCCTGTTCATTCTCCTCTTCGTAAAAGAATTATGACATATCTCTTTTAATAGAAATTATAGAATGAAATAAAAATGCCACGGTCGTTGACATCGGTGCGCAAATATCTCTCAAAGGAAACGCCTGAAATTTTCCGCGACATCTCGCGACGCTCATCTTTCCGCAGCAATTTAATTACGCGTAAAAGCGCGCGTGTGCATCTATATATGCATACACGTGTGCGTGCGCAAGCGAGCAGGAATCACGCGAGTCGAGAACGCGGAAGTAGTCCAATGTTGCACACAACTGAACTGTTAGAATATATGCTAATAATCGCTAAGGCGCAGCGGAATTTATGACGTTTGCATCTCCGCGCGTGCATGCGTGCATCGTGTGCGATATCACGCGGACATACGATTACGTATATACAAGAGCGAATGCCGTTCGTTGACTACCGACGTGAGAAACGACTCGTTACGCAGCTAATTCATTAACCGATAATTGCAATAAATGTTTAAGTACTAATTGAGTCTTATACGAAGACGCGTGATGAATAACCGAGAACAGGAGCGAGAAGAGAAACGTTAGCTCGCCGCGAAATTGATCCGGCTTCCTCACGGCGATCTCTGAAGAAACGAGGTTCTCCGGCCGAGAAACTGTCTGGTTAATTAGCATGTCAGTACTATATCACAGTCGATAATTCCTTTCGCAAGGTGCGGACGACGCGTATCATTTTACGTCGCGATATCTTATTTGCATATAAACAACAGTTATATAGCACTATAACGTTAGATAAAAAAAAAAACTCGCGTTATTTAATGAAGAGAGCCGCGCTGATGACGTCACGAAAGCGACGAGGGATTCCACCTGATCTCGCTAAGTCGTTTCATCTCGCCTCCCATCATGGATCTCTGTCTCTCTTTACAGATATCCTCCGACACGCGTGAATGCCGCACCTCGGATGAGGAGCCCGCGAAAGGAGTCTCGCGTCGCCGATGCAGCGAGAGGTCTCGATGGATCGCAGGAGGATGGGGACCAACGGAGCGAGCACTCTACGCGAGACCGACGCGACGAGAGAGAGAGAGAGAGAAGAGGGCAACGTCAATTCGCGGCAGCACGTGCAGCCGCGTAAGAACGACCTTGGGGGTCAGTGCTCTCCTCTCGCGTAAGCAGGCCATAGTACATAGTACGTTGACGCGAATCGATCGCGTCTCTCTCTCTCTCTCTTCTCTCTCTCCCATTGAGATAGGCGACGCGACGTCGATAAAGGAGCGTGGAGAAGAGAAGGGGTAAAACGCGACGCGGCAAAGGGAGGCAGAGGGATTCCTCTCCGCGTCGTCGTATTGAGCGCGACGCCTCCGCTTAGGGGAGAGTTTGGGCGTGGATCTCTTTGGGGTGAAAGTACTCCCGCGCTTTTCCAGGTGGCATGTCTCCGAGTCCTTTTTTTCCTCCGGACTCTCCCGGGAGCTCACATCGACGGATTTCAGGATTATTAAGATATGTCAATCGTAATTAATATAAATCAATGAGTTTTCTTAACTTTAATCTCGACAAACAAGTTTCATAAAAATTATTAATCCTTGGAATTTGAAATAGCACAGTGATCATTATTCGCAAAATTTATTTTATAATTCTCTATTAAGAGAGATATTATTTTCATATTAATGACACATTTGCTAAAATACTTATTTAATATCTATTTATAAAGACTAGCAAACGCGTAACTTATAGTAATATAAGATGACAGTTGAAAAAAATATGTATAATATTTTGTTTCAGTTTAGATTACATTAAGTGATCAACTCAATTTACATATTATATATCTTTGAGAATTGCTGATTAATTGAGAATAGAAAAGCTTAGACAAAGAAGACTTAGACGGGAAGAGCAAACATAGATATATATTTTGATAAGGAAAAGAAGTAATCTAATCGGAGGAAATAACACGTATGTACAATTAGGGGTTGCAAGAGAGAGTATCGCGCGATATCTTTCCACTCTGCCACGATAAAACTCTTCTCGACCACGCTGATGATGTTCGAGTTTCGTGTTTCATGCAATAAACTACGTAAGTTCCTCGATATCAGACGACCCGCGCGTTGATAACAACGTCTGATTACACCGAGATATATGCAATATTCGCATCTCCGTGACCTATGCGAACTTCCCTTCGAGCGGCTTTGATACGTACTTCCACGGACTCGTCGTCATTCAGTAAATTATCACTTTCTCCCGCAACTGTACATACAACATTTAGAGATCTAAGCGAGGCCGAGAAATTCTTCGTATATCGATGATCTACTTCTGATGACCTAAGTGAACTCCTATTCTCGCGATTCGTTGAATTGTCACTTTCTATACATATTATCGAATTCTCTCACAATTTCCTGATTTTTCAATACAATGACATTTCATTGCAACATAAATTATAAACTTAGCAAAGTAAAATTTAATTAATCAACTAATTACTTTTTGAACTTGAGGAAAAAATTATAAAGTTAAAGTAATGATTTATAAAAAATTCCTAATTATTCTCTTCGATTTTCTGTGTGCGTGTATGTAAGAAGAATTTTCCAAATTTGCGATTAATTCGCTGGAATTCAAGAAGCAGTTGCGAAGTTGTTTATATTTTAAAGTCTCTCAAACGACGATCCTTTTCCTCGAGCCACATATGCAAACGTGACGATACATTTCTCTTCCTGATCACCCGTATATAAGGCGAAGCCATAAATCTCTTCACGCTCGAGCTTCGTGTAAGACATCGCGAGTCATTCAATCCAGTTACGAAAGTGAAGATTATCGCGCGAAAGGATTCAAACTTAGAATATTGACATCAAAATAATAACACAAATACAATATATTTTGTATAATATAAACTACATGAGAATTTATTTCTCTCGTATATTCTTTGATTATAATTATATGTAGAGAGAAATAAAATTGTGAATAACTTCTTTCTGTCACAAAAAAGATACCGAATTTTATCATTATTTGCATGATTATGTGGCATAAAAATTAATTTTTAAAATACCTTATTATACTTTGATAAGACATATGTAAAGATTTCAATTTATTGTCGCCATCAATGATAAGGAGGATATTTCAGAGAGAGATCGTTAAAAATAACGATTTAAAGAAATTATTTCATTAAAGAAACAAAATATGAAATTATTTTAAAATATATTTTGTAATTGTACCTAATCAAATCAAACGTACGTTCCTATCTGTCATCGATGAACAGCATAGATGCAATTACTTAGCCTTAGGAGGTCTTACCGCTCGCATACGTTCGCTCGCACACGAATCACAACCGTAAACGGAGATATCGTATAGGAAGGTGGGGATAAATATCTTATAGCAGATATGAGATATACGAACGGTATTGTAGGTAGAAAAGGAGAGAGAGAGAGAGGAAAGAAGAGGGTTGTAGGAGCGTATATAGTCGACGTCCGTTCCGATAGCCAGACGCAATCAGAACACTCCCACGTGTCGATATAGCTGGCCGCAAATCAACGATGCATTTAGCATCACGATCACCGGATGATTCTTTCTCGTCTGTCCGCGAGAAAGTGCGGCCGAATGAGTCACTCTTGTTAAGCAGGCGCGCGCCTTTTACGCGCGAGATTGTGTGTTGCCGGGTCAAAACGCGAGAACACTCGGATTATGAATCAGTCATTTATGTGATTCTAGGTTCGTAATAACCAATTACGTAATCACGTATTTATCAAATGATAAAAAATCAAGAGAAAGTTTTTTTTTTTCTACAAATTTACAAAATCGAGACAATAATCACGTCCGCGATGATTGTCGTTAAATAATTACAAAAACAATTCCTCGACATTTCCACAGCATATTGATGACTCGAGAAAAAGACGAAGAATCTGCACCTCTCTCATCGCGTAAATTACTCACGGAAAATGTCAGTCTGTTGCTACCGTCTCACTCATCGTGTCTACTTCTCTGTCTTTCTCCATATTTGTCTCTCCTCTCTCTCAGCATCCCTTCTCCATGTCTTTTCACCTATCGTTTCGAGAGTAGGTAAGCGACTGGCATACCGCCTTGAATGAGAAATGCAATAAGAACGAGAGAATGGCGAGTCGATCGAAAGGAGAGACTTTCAATGAGGACCAAAGCGATTTCGAGCGATAAAATACGTGCGTTGCCAAGAATAATTAATTGACCGATAATAATATAATTAATTAAATAAAAGATGTACCTATACAATTTTAACACTAAAGAAATTAAAATTAAAACACGGGTATATTTAAAATTATTCAAAATATTCTCAATAATATTTTTTCTTCTAAAAACAGTATCTATACAGAATATGGAAGATTTTTATGCAAATATGAATGAAATGAATTTTTAGAGTTAAATACAATCTTCATTGATTAAATTAAAATTGAATTAATTATAAAGCAAATCATTAAAAATTATTTTTTTGTGGATTTTTTCTTTTTCTTAAAACAAAAGAGAAAATAAACAAAAAAGGAAAAGAGTTAAACTCCTTTCTCAGAAAAAAAATTGCCAAATTGTCATTAACAAGTTAGTAGTGGGCCCACATTCCCAATCAGATTTTGCTGGTTTGACATTTCGGACATTCGATTCGACCTTTTAATTGCAAAAGATCCTAGTTAATCGACCAATCCTCTTTTTTTTTCTCTCTTTCGTTTACACGTCGACCGGAAACAAGTATGTGAACTGAAACGCGTCATTTCTATGCGGGAATAACTGATAAATCTGTGGTTCGACTAAAAATGATAATTATACTGTTATCTAAGCCTTTGGAATAACATTTAAATAACTTACGTGAAGAATTTAAAATTATAATGACGCCCGCTTGATAGAAATATTACTTTAAGCAAAGCAGATATTAGCTTGTATCGCGGCTTTAAATTTAACTCACACAGGCATATATAAATATTCTCTTGTAACGAAAGTAAAGTTTAACGACTTCTTCAATTATTTAAACACTGTAGAAAAATTGACAACAATATCAACTTTAAAAAATTACCTTTGCAATTCAATATTAAATTTTTTGTCAAATATTAAAACAATACAACAATTTTTGTATATTAGTGAAATTTAGTTAGCCTTTAAATCGAGAACTTTACAAGAGTATATACTGTTTTACTATTCCGAAAAAATTATTTTCCCGTTAGAAAGTCCTAAGCGCAAATTGAAGCGGCGCTCTTACTACGGCACTTATCTGCAGTCTCTCCCACGCGGCCACAGTTAATGAATGAATGAATTGCGTCATCTTACGGAGATGCGCTTTTACGTACAGTCCCAAGCATAAAAATAGGCACCCACTTGCTCCCGAGGGAAAGGCGTAGTCAGTGGGAGGAAAAAGTGAACGAGAGAAGGAAGAGGAAGAGACTGTGAAAGTGAGAAAGGAATTACATTTTTTATATTTTATAAATTATTTCAAAAAATAGAATTAAAAGAAAATTATCATTTAAATGTTTTAATAGTCTTTGTACTAATTAAAATAACTGCAAAAAAAGTAAAATAAAAAAATCTATCTTTCAGTAAAATATGTAAAATTTAAATCTTAATATAAAAACAAATCTTGTATATTTTAAAACAATATTATTTATAAAAAATAGCTAAAAAAATAATTAAAGATAAAAAAAGATAATCATAATAATTATTAAAATTGACCGATAGACCGGTATTATAGAATAATTGATTTTAATTTGTGCTTAGATAGCATATTATATTAGTTTCGCAAGATGTTAAATTCTGTGTATACAATAATATAAAGCGGAATTGTTTTGCAATAACCAGGAGGCGCGTTAGGTTCACGGTGAAACTGCAGTTCAATGATATTAGAATACAACCCACGTCAACCGTTCGTATTATATACATATTTTAATAATGGACCGCTTGACATTTTCTTCACTTTCGTGCGATGACTTTTGCAATATAACGTTAGTCAGGGTAAATTCAGTACCGTGTAATTATTCTCTCGCCTCTATTAACGTCTGATTTTTTATTTTAACCAATCATTGACTTTATAAGACCTCCACTGTTTTTTATAAAATATAAGATTGCCAGAATTATATATGAACATATACTTTTCTCTAAATCATCCAAGAATTAAACAATAAAATTAAATACTTATCAAAATATTAGTCATTGACATTTATCACATATATTTATATTTATCAGCATCGTTGCAGAAATACGAAATTATTGAAAAGGAGTAAAATAAAAAAATAATGAAAATTTGCAAATTTAAAAAATCGAAAATTTTCACGCCAAACGATTTTTGTTTCATCGTGACAATAGAGCGGAAAAGCTCAGCATTCTTCACCTGCTTCTGCGAAATTGAAATTGACTTTCGGACGCGCATAGCAGCACGCACGTGACCGCTGCGTGCCGCATGAATTCGCGGAAGCGCAAGTATCCCGATTCGGATGCGTCGCGCGCAAGAAACGCGTTCCAATGCATGACTTTCCTGGAAGCTTTAAGCGGGAGAAATTTGCATGAGGAAACGAGGAACGTGGCGCGGCCACTATACTATCGATGGGAAAAGAACC